CGATAACTTGAGTAATTTTTATCCGATTTTGATTAAATTTGGTTTGAAGGTGTAAGGCGGGATAAACTTGAATGAGTTCACGATCCAGCATGATCGGACCATGGGAACAGGGTTTTATGGGGGGTTTTATGGGGTAAAGATTGGTTTTTCTCACTTTTGACCCTCAAAACACAAAATTTCCCAATTTTTCTCTAAACCTTCTTAAAGAGCTTAAAAAACAAACAATTCAGTATATCAAAGTGTTTTTGTACGGTTATTGGTTACGGAGAAAACTAAAAAAATGGTAAATTTAAAATTCCCATGTTATTCTTATTGGAGAATATTGTAAAATGTTGTAGTTTGCTTGTTTATGGATATCTTTTGATCAAACTTGGCAAATATATTCATTTTATACTAAGCAATAATTATTTTACTTAAAACACACACTTTATTAGTTTCCTTGTAGCAGCAAACCTAGGTATTCGTTAAACCTAATGTTATTTAAATAGATCAATTGAAAATCAATTCAGCCAAATGGAAATTCGCTTAGGCGTCAGGTTTGCTGCGGCGGGGGTATTATACTTATATGCCAATCCCGTACGAAGGACGGGTACTCTGCTAGTAAATAAATAAATAAATACTTTTAGGTAGGTAAATTACTTTTGTTAGTATAGGATTGTGACGTAATATGGATATATATATAATCAAACAGTGACGGGTGAAGAGTCAAGTATCAACGTAGGTGTAACACTGCAATATTCCTGTAAATACCAGCGTAGGTGAAGTCGTTCTTTAGATATTCACATTATGTAACGAATTGAATTAGTCACTTCGAAGGATATTCTAACGTTTCATATTTTTTAACTAACTAAATTGTGAGTCATAGTATAAGTGTCATTTAATAGGAAAATAATAAACAATGCTATTTTAATTAATAAAAAGCAGGTACTCTAGCCCCATCTTCGAACTCTCTAAGGGTCCTCCACTTCTTATGATTATGATTATGATAGTGAGTCATAGTTAACCATTCATCTAAAAAGGACAAACAATAATCCCCCAGTAAATTTACTTATATTTTTTACAGATGATGCAAATATTCGTATGGATAAATATGTACGGTAGGTCTACTTGTACACTCCATTATAAGTTCACAATGGTTTGATTTCTCCATCAGATTGAAACACCTTTCCAAGCTGTAGTTTTATTAAACGGAAAATTAAATACTTGAAATCTATACGACAAGTAAAGTACCGTGTAAGAAAACGGGCCCGTGGAATGAAAGGCGCTCTAATGGCGACTGGCGACTGGCGAGGTAATGGGGCTGTACTCCAGGGTCATTAACGCTTCACTTTTTGTTATTACAATTCCATTCCTTTAATTATTTTGGAATTTAAAAGAATTGTGCTTTTGAATGTTCCCAAGGAGCAGTATGAGAAATTAATTTGTTTACAACGGGTATTGTTAGGACTGTTAAATCCCATGTATAAGGGACAATTAATGCGAATTTTATTGAGTAAAGCATAGAATATAGAGTGATATTCGGAGTGTCCAGTTATGAATTTTGTTTTTGGCTACAGTTATTGTCACACAATGAGTCAGGTTAACAGTGCGGTTATTTATTCCGGGTATTGACAAACTTTTATCCAACTATGACTTATAGAGGGTTAAGTACTTGCCTCTCTGTTATACAGGGTGCCCATAAAAAAACGTTTCAGGACATTGGGAAATGAATCCTCATACTAAAAGGAAGAACTCAAAAATGGCTAATTCTATGAAAAAATGTCTCAAGAATACTTTGTTTTAGCATTTTTAATTCCCTATCAAAAAAATACCAAGATCAAAAAGATCGGACAAAAAATAACTTAAATATAACGTTTTTTTGTGTAAAAATAAGACAAAGTTAGTCGGGGAACCCTTAATTTTGCCTGTTTTTACACAAATAACCGTTATATTTCAGTTATCTTTTTTCCGATGTCTTTGATCTTGGTATCGTTTGATAGGGAATCAAAATAAAAAAAAAAGAATAATTCAAACACCCGCCATTTTGAAATTTACAGTCGGAACAACTTTATTATTTTTTCTATTATAGGTCTTGTGTATGTTAACATGGTTTCCAAATTTCATAATCATCAAATGAAAAGCTTCACAGATAAAAACATTTTTGTATAAAAACAAAATGGCGGATAACTGGGTGAATATGCATTTTCGGACGTACCTTCACAAAAAACTGTTTTCTTCCTTTAAGAATGAAGATTCATTTCCCAAAGTCCTGAAACGTTTTTTTTGGACTCCCTGTATAAGCCGAGTTAGAACTTAAGTTTAAAAGTATCAAACTACAGTAAATAATCGTGTAATTTTATGATTGTTATTTAATTAGGTATTTATGTTAGATTTATGTTCGGCAGTTGTTAATGTTAAGTTAATAACACATTTCAGAGTCATGCAATCTGTTATTTGGCCGAGAACAAGTTTAAATGTTAAACAGTTCAAGTCAAATTGAACTAATATTTGCATTAGGCCTACGTTTCCATTTCACGGCTCCAAATCCTAATAAGTTGCGAGTATCACAAATTAATTAATGATGATGATTAGCAGCCAGCGTCACTTCGTGACATCAAAATCCACGATATATTTGAATTAATTTAAAATTTTCTATTACTCAGAGTTAATTTGAAAATTATCTATTTTTACGTGATAATCATTGACTTAACACTGACTTTTTTTAAGCAAATCCTGAACATAACTTTGTAATTAGTTTTTCCAGCACATAAAACCATTAATAAAAAAGTGAAACTAACTTTGATTTATAATAACTTCTGTAGATAAGTACATTTACAATATTTTACTTGAATTCACTAAAAAATCACCAATTTTGTAACGATAACTCTTTGGATCTAAACAAAATTGTATCAGGGCCATCTGTTTTGATGTAAACTAATGTAAATTCAGAAATGTAAAATTCAGATGATTGACAACAGAATTCTGTACAAAACCCGAAATTTTAAAAGCCTATAGGACAAAGGGTTTTCATGAGATATCATCTAACCCCGCACAAGACACACCTGGAGGAGAAGAGCTTTAAATTGATACCCAATATGCTTATATTAAAACTCATCCTGTATATATTTAGCTTATATATTTAGGGGTCGATTTGCTAAATACAAAAATTTAACAAATTCTTTCAATAATACCATTGGTTATAGTCAATGATAATACCTATATATTATTAATTTCACAATGCTAGAAAAAAATTTTAACAGAATTTAAGTAATTAGAAATATTTTTTTTGAAATTAACAAAACAGCGCCATTGCGCAAGTTACCGAGAAACAACGGATAAGAATATAATGGACAGACCACTTTCACGTCCCCAACATAATAATACAAAAACTTGGTTCTGTCAACGCAAACAAACTAATTGAACGAATGCCATAGAAATGGGGTTTCTAGATTTTGAGTGAAATGTTATTTGAATGAAGCGCAAAATGGGTATTGATAATGGAAATGTCATCTAAAAGCCAGCCATTCAAGCAGTTCTGTTAACGCAGCTGTACGCTCGACCACAGGCGATGTTTGGTAATATGTCAAACTGATTGCCATTGTTACTTTTGTCTGTAAGTATAACTATTACTAAACATTCTCAGACTATAAGAACATTACTCCTTTGCATAACTAGACGGATTAGTGTTAGTCTTTGGTAATCCCCTCACTATAAGCACGAGTTAATCAGTTTGTATCAAGGAGACGTCTTCAATCAGTCCACGTTCACGTTGTGCCCCGTTGTCACAAACTTTTTTTTCAATTAACTCGAATTATCTACTATTTATAAAATACCCCCGCCGCACACAACCTGCATACTAAGCAAAATTCAAAGTCTAATTGGCCATAAACAAGACATATTTGTTCCCCATTTTACTAACATTAGATCTGACGGGAGCTTTGGTTTGCTGCAACGGGGAAGGTAAAAAGTGCTTTTGACCAAATATTAATAGTATAGGATAAAATAAAGAAATTTTCAAAATTGTATCAACATATACATAAACAAATAAACTGCTAACAACAGTTAAGTACTTTTCTCTTTCAGAATAGCATGGGAATTATGTACAGTTTGTTTTGGAATTTTCCCCGGTACCTTGATTATATATAAACACTTCAATATTCAAGATTATTTTTTAACTTTACACGGTGGTTGTACTAAAATTCGGGTATTTCCATGTTATAAGGGAAAATCCAATTGAAAAACTAATTTTTGAAAATTCCAAAACCCTATAATACTCTGTTCTTTTGACCCTAAATTGGTGGTTTGCGAACTTATTAAGTTTATCCCGCCCTTCACTTTCAAAATATATCTAATCAAAATGGGGGGCATCAAAATTAAATAGTATATTGGTCCTAGGTCTTACCGTGCCACTACGGTAATAGCTACTTCCCTATAGGGAAATTCGCTAAAAGTAACCATTCTGGAAGAAAGGTAAATAAATATTGAGGGAAATGTGTTAACAACAAGCAATTCTTTTACCAGCGCTGACAACAGTATAATTAGTTGAGCACTCTTCGAATATCCTTATAGTAGATGGAAGGACCTTCAAATATCTGGCAAAACTCAACAAATGGCCCTTAATCAACTTGTATCCTTAATCTTTATGCAAATAATATTCTCGTATGAAAACACTATGAAACCGAGACCAAGTTAATTTTAGGAATCTTATAAAGGTGCATTATCCAACACTTATATATTTATTCATACGGAAAGCACAAATTTGAATAGTTGGTACAATTAATAAATGCGATTGAATACCGCCTCGAAACCTAACGATCCTTGGTTCAACAATAAAATCGTCTTGGTAAAGACTTTATACAAATTTAAATCATGAGAAAACTTAGGCAGTAAATGAAAGTAGGTATCAAAAAAAGTCTTAAGTTAACATCTTAAGTAAAAAAGTAAAACTACCTAAAGATGGAATTCTACTCGTATTATTACTTAGCCAACAACACAATAACAAGGTTTTGAGCCCGCATTACCTGAGGAGCAGGGTAAACAGCAAACTCCAACTTGCTCTTCTTGCCGTAGTCCCTGCACAGCTTGGTGAGCAAGTGGCTGGCGAACCCTGAGCCGGTGCCTCCACCGAAGCTGCGGAACAAGAGGAAGCCCTGTAGACTGGCAGCTTCCTCGGCGACCTTGCGTATCTTGTCTAGCACTAGATCCATCATCTCGGCACCCACGGTGTAGTAGCCGCGGGCGAAGTTGCTGGCCGCGTCCTCCTTCCCAGAAATCAGCTGATCGGGGTGGAACAGCTGTCTGTATGTACCAGTGCGTATCTCGTCTGTAACATCATCACTTGTGAGTCATCAAAGTGATATGTTTGTAGATAAATGCTACAAACAGGTGCGTATGAATAGCACATAATTATGTCTGGTAAATTATTTATTTTATCAACACTTTCCATTTGGCTATTAGTCAAACATTGTATTACTAGTAGTATTAATTGTGGTGTGGTGTATTAGGCTATTTATACTGTAAGAGGGAAACGAGATACAGATCGGGAACTAGTTCAATTGGTGGGAAGAGGGTCAGTGTGGGGTTTTTGTCTTATAATTACGTACGAGTAGTCTGGCGATTACGAGACACTGTTTCACCTAAGCTCCTTCCTACACCAGCAAACAAAATCCAAAACACTTTGTAGTGGACCTAACATCAGATTCTTAAGACGTTTTGGTCCACTCCAATATTTTAGTTATTAATAGTGAGCGTTTACTATTAATAAATGGAAAAGTCCTTATGAAAGAAATAGACAAATTAATAATTAGTGTATGGGAAACCAAAACTATACCAGAGGAGTGGACAGAAGCAGTGATAATTTCTATCCACAAGAAAGGAGATAAACAGTTATGGTCCAACTATAGGGGTATATCCTTCTAAATACTGTTTGTAAAATAGTTTCTAAAATTTTATTATGAAGGCTAAATCCCTTCACAGAGGCCATAATTGAAGAACAGCAAACAGGGTGTATGAAAGGAAGATCTACAATTAATTGACCAAATACTTTTTCTAAAACAGGGACTTTTTCAAAATACTGGGAGTACAATACAAGTTTATATGGAATATTTATTGATTTTAAGAAAGCATTTGACAGCATGGAAAGAAAATAACTCTTTAAGAACATGGAAAAGCATGGTATAACAGAAAAGTTGATAATATTAACAAGACTATGCATAAATGAGCCCAAAACTAAAATAAAGATAGATGGAGAAATATCTGAACGTTTCCACATAAACACAGGGGTGAGACAAGGAGATGGAATTTCTCCAACACTCTTTAATACAGCTATAGAAGAAGCCGTAAAAAATACAAAATACCTTCAAGGAGGCATTAAACTGGGAGTAGACTTATATATATTGGCATTTGCAGATGATGATGTGGTGTTAGTGAGTCGGTGGCTCAGTCGGTAGCGTCGCGGACTTCGGGCCCAAGGCAGCGATGTCGTGGGTTCGGATCCTGGTCACTGCCGATAACATTTTATCAGTACAGTTCACCTTTGTACTGTACCGGCTCACTCCTTGCTTTGCTGTAAACGATCCACGCACGGGCGCTTAGTCTATGTGGACGGGCAAATTCAAGGTTAAAAAGAGGCCGCCAACCTCTTTAAAAAAAAAAAAAAAAAAATTCTAGCAGAAATCTCTGGAAACATTTGCCTTTTAGCTGAAAACTGTATTAAAGAATGTAAGAAGGTAGGATTAGAGCTAAATGAAGAAAAAACTAAAATTGTCCACTTTGGCCGAAACGCTAACAATAGAGATGTAAATTTCAACATTGCCAACTATTCGATTAATTGTGTGGAGAGCTTGAAATATTTAGGAGTTAACGTCAATAGTTCAAATTCTAAAGATCTGGAGATACAAAGTAAACTAACAAATGCCAATGAGAGCGTTGGGTCTTGTACAAAACTTTTATCATCCAAACTTGTATCAAGATGCTCAAAATTAAGATTATACAAGACCATTATACAGCCAGTGTTATTATATGGAAGTGAAACAAGGGTCCACTCCAAAAGAAGTGAAGGATATTTGATGGTGTTTGAAAATAAGGTACTTCGTAAAATATTCGGCCCAATCTATGAAGAAGGAGTTTGGCTCATTAGGAAAAATAGAGAGCTGCGTGCCCTATACAAAGACCCTGGCATAATAGCACTTATAAAAGCAAAAAATAATTAGTTGGATAGGTCATGTACTTCGGAGACAGGATGGCACAAGACTGGACGAGGTTTGTGAGGCCGTACCTTCAGGAAGACGTCCGTTGGGTAGGCCTAAATTCAGATGGTATGACCAAGCCAAAAAGGATGTGACGCAATGCGGAGGAGAAATCCGGATGGCGGAGGATAGAGAACAGTGGAGGTGGCTAATCTACGAGGCAAACAATCTACTGTGATTTGTGAAGCCCCATCACAGTAAGTAAGTAACACATTAACAGTAACATCACATTACAGTAAGTAAGTAAGTAGTAGTGAGAATTTTGAGCCAAATGACAGATTTGAAAATATAAATATTCATGCAAAGCTATTTTCAATTCTGATATTATGGCTTTTAAGATACTAAGATGGAAATGCAGATATTAAACACCATTTTCCAATTTCAACACGCACGAGATAAACACATGATTTGTGCTTGCTCTGTTGCAGTCATTAAGCAATAGACTACCAACTATCTCTTACTCAACTGACTGTGTTTGTCTTAGTAATGTCATTTAGTCTGTAATCAACCTCCGGATTGGCAGATTTGATTACAGTAGTACTTTCAAAAGGCGAATTAAAAAAGTCGCCGTAGCTGTGACTAGTTGGTATAATTTGTCTTCGTATCAAGTGTCGGTTATTTAAATACTCACCAATGACAGTGGGCTCAAGATCGACAACCACGGCTCTTGGGACGTACTTCCCGTGACTGAGCTCGTTGAAGAAGGCATTGGGGTTCTCTGAGGAGGTGATGTTGAAGCCCGGATAGAGGACTCCGTTGGGTTGGATGCCGTGCTCCAGACAGAAGAGTTCCCAGCAAGCGTTCGCCATCTGCACGCCACACTGGCCTATGTGGATGTTGATCACTTCCCTCTGTAAAATTACCATGTATTATGAACATGAAGCTGAGTGCCAGGTCTTATATCTGTTATGCAACACATTAAGTTTCTCCAAGGACGTGGATATATATAATGGCTAACCCAAGTTGACATAGGATACACTTATCTTTCTTGGTGCCGGACTGATTCGGCAGAACCTCAACAAACAAGCAAATAAATTGGTAATGAATAGTATGCCTATTATTTGGGATCTGCTTCAATTTTACATTCGTAACTTATCGTTACAATCAAACGGATTTTCCTCTTAAGAACATTTATACGCTATGTACCCTTACGTTATGTACGTACTGTCCGAAGATAATTGAACCTCAATAATGATTAATGTTGAAACAAATGCATTGGAGTAAAATTATCTACACATAAGCACTGTACTTAATTTATCTGAGTATAAAAAAGACGACCCATTTAAGACCAGTACATTTTATGAATAAGATCTAAAGTCAAACGTGTAAAGGAAATTTTTGTGGCATGCGACGATACTTTTTCATTGCCAAATGAAACAAAATCTGTTTATAGTAACAATGTTATGGTTTGCGTAGAAATATTTTAAATTTAAGATTAAGTAATCACCTTGTATTCATGCAATGTTTCAAAGAAAAGAATAAAATCATTTATAAAACTCGAAAAGTATTTCACGGTCTAATCTTTTGTGTATTAATCTTTGGTTTGAATGGATATGATTTTTCTTTTTAGCAAATTTCCCATATAGGGAATAAGCTATTACCATAGTACTCATGGTAAGACCTGGACCCGGAACCGATTGACTTTTTCGTTTTAAGGTCCCTAGAGGCTAAAAACACCTTCCATACAAATTCATTTATGAAAATTCCAAAAAATTGTAAATTTAAAATTTACATGTCATTTTTATGGGTCGCCAGAATTTTATCCCCCTGGAATTTAACCCCCTGTGCAAAGCTGACGTCACTCTGACGTAGTAACCATAGTGGCCAAAAGTTTGTTCGCGGCCGGAATTTTACCCCCGCGGATTTGGAAGTATAATGAAAATAGCCAGAGCGTAATTAATTAGATTAGCGATAAAAACCGGAATTTTACCCCCTGTCAACTAGCGTTTAGACAACTGAAGATGTACGCGCCGGATTTTTACCCCCGGATTCTTACCCCTCGGAATTTTACCCCCTGGCCGATTTTAGAAATTTAATGATTGATTTTCTTATTTCTGTTTTTAATTAATTGTAAACATTTCATTATTTAGTTGCCTATCTTTATTTATTTATTTTGTAATCTCAACTAAGTGAACAGAATGCGCTGTTTAATTTTGTGTTCAGGATTTGCATTTGGGGCCAACTGTTGGTTAAAAAGTATGTAAAATAAACTGAGTAGATCATTTAAATGATAATTGGGTGAACATATCTTCGTAAAGAAACAATAAGGCATATTTTGTTATTGTTACAATACAAACGAAAAACATTGTTTTACCACGGTTGTATAATAAATCGTTAAAGTAAACTTCGAATCAATTACCCTTCTGATGTTTTTGTTTACGTCATATTAATCAACAGTTGGCTTCAAAGATCGAATCCTGATACTCGAATATCAAAATTAAAATCAAAAACCTGTTCGATTAGTTGATGTTACAAATAAATTAAGATAGGCTACTTAATAATAAAAGGTTTACTATTAAATTAAAACAGAATGAAGATAATTAATCATTCTCACTAATTTATATATCTGGCCAGGGGGTAAAATTCCAGGGGTAAAAATCCGGGGGGTAAAATTCTGGGGGTCAAAATCCGGGGGTAAAAATCCGGGGGGTAAAATTCCGGGGGTAAAATTCCGGGGGTAAAAATCCGGGCCGTACACTCTAGGTTTTTATACTTAGATGTGTTCTGATTAAATTCACAACCGTGAAAATATATGTTTAATTCCGCGTTTAATCCATCGAACTGATGTGCAACTCAAAAGTTCGCGGCCGGAATTTTACCCCCTGGTTTGTCACGACACGGACACGTTTGCCCAGAAGGTAAAATTCCAGGGGGATAAAAATCCGCTACCCCATTCTTATAATAAGTCAACTTTTGTAGTTTGCTTGTTTATGAACATATTTTGATAAAATTTGGAAATTCATACCTTTATTACTAAACTACAGTATTAACATTTTACAACAAAAAACACTTTTTTACCATCCCTGTTGCATCAAACCAAAGTACACGATAAATTAATTCTATTTAAATAACGAATAAATGTGATATTTTAAAGGAGACATTTAGTGTAAATCCAATCAGGCAAATGAAAATTAGCTAAGTCTGCAGGTTTGCTGCGGCGGGGGTATTCTAAATTATAAGGGATTTGGAACCAACATCTTAGTAAAATAAATTAAAGGGGAAAGGTTTGAAGGATTGATGAAATGGTAAGTATCAATGTTTCATCAACTCCATGAAGATCTAACAAACAAGACTGTTACTTCTGTGAACTTACGTCGTCTTTCATTGGTCAATGGTTGTGTTTTACAAGAACACATGGTGTCGAAGGACGTATATTAAATCAAATACAAACTGTCTTTCATGTGTGTGTAATCACCCTTCCATAAGCTAATTAAAGGAATTTGTTCATACAAATCGACGTGTAAATCCAGGGGTTTAATTACATGTGAATAACTTATAATTACTAAAGCCATATTGCGTGAGCAATTGTGTTTTTAATCGGCTTATAAGTTATTTGTTGGTAAACGTTTGTTCTAAATCTCGGCCTGAATGTTACGTTTATGTGAGTCCCACTGGGACGAACAGGCTAGTTAGCGGATATCACATTTATATGCTAATTTTAATCTGATTTGCGGAGATTATCTGTGCCAAGCCGGAACCGAGATTTGTTGTTTAGTTAAAAAGTTAGTTTGTTTAAAACGGTTGGCCTCAATATTATTATTAGCTTATTTTCTATGGGAATTTGAGATATAATAAGCATCATCCGGAAGACACCATCATTCGGATCTTGTGTGGATAATAAAACCTTAGACTGCAACAGATGTTTACGATATCATCTATTTTATATTTTTAAACTATTATAATAATTACTAATTAGGATATATAAAAGTTATATAGGCTAACCTGTTTATTGACCCGTCTTTAAATAAGTCAGAATTTTTCCCGCCTTAAAATTAGTTTGTTATACAAATATTTTGTTAGGTACCGTAACAATTTTGGAACTTTTTTGTATACCCGTTGAACTTTTTTAAACCTGATTCAGTAGTAATGTACTTGTGAAGTAGTATGCTACCTATTTAAACAATTATTATTTAAAATATTATTTGAAAATTTAATATGCCCAAATATAAAATGTAAAAATAGATTTCCTGTATATCAATTTAATTATATAAATCAATTATATCAATTATTTAAGATGGGGACGCCACTATGTGCGTATTTTAACCCAAATATGAGTGAAGTATGAGTGTAGAATGAGTGGCGCGATCCTGTAGTCTTGTTAGTAACTAAGGCCGACATGTTCCTCAGACACAACTACTAACTAATAGCCCAAACAGCCAATGACAACTAAGGGACCTACAGTTTATAGTGGAATTCGAACCACATTTTTCCTTGTAATTAACGAATTGGTCTAATTATCAGGATAGTACTTTATACTTTATACTTTATACTTTCTTATGAAATGGCGACCATACTATGTAGGTATTTTAAGCCAAGTATGAATGGAGATGAGTGTAGGATGAGTGGCGCGATCTTGTAGTCTTGTTAGTGACTAAGGCCGACATTCCTTAGACACAGCTGTTAATTAATAGCCCAAACAGCTAATGGCAACTAAGGGACCTACAGTTTAAAGTGGAATCCGAACCACATTTTTTCCTTGGTATATACGAATTGGTCTAATTATCAGGATAGTACTGCGGATAGTAGTAGTACTCACTAGTGCGGACGTTAATCCACACCAGGGAGTATCCCATCCACAGTGCATGCCTATAAATATCCACAATCCGTACTGCGGATACTGTGAGTCGTAGCACTCACTAGTGCTCACGTTAACCCTAATCCACACCAGGGAGCATCGCATCCACAGTGCATGTCTACTATCCACAATTCGTGACATCCTAGTACTGTAGCTGGATACAGACGACGTCGCCGTCTGAGTCATCTTCTGTAGGTAGAGATGAATTTTTCTTGTAAAATAATAATCTCTTTTCCGATTCTCTTGATGTTTAGTTCAAACAACATAATATCTTCTCATATTTGTTTTACTTTATTGGATGAATAACTTTTCCGTGATCGTAGGCGATTCTCTTACATTTCGATACAACTTAATTCTTACGAACATTTGATACCGGTAGGCCTACTTGAGTTGACAAAGTGTATACAGTTTATTTCCAGTGAGTATTCCTAAAGGTACATAAAATTATATAATGTACCTCATACATGCCAGAAGGAGGTTAGCAATATAGTATTATTTTTCACTAAAAATCAATAAAGCCTTACCTTTTTTGCCATGTTGAAGGTATTTACGAAGTTTACGTTAACCCAGAAATGTTATTTTGATAACGATATGTCTCATGATCACGTGATAGCTTGTGCTACGTTGGTGACTGGAACAGAAATACATGAATTGAATAATATATTTGTAGAATTAAGATAATAGTACAACAGTTACTACTTTCAGGTTTCAGTTAATATACTAAATAAATTAACTCATGTATGGTGTTAGTTGTAAGCCCTTTTTTACCTCAAACCTACGCTAACAGTATGAGGAAAATGTTTGTAATAATTGACCATTGATGTACTGCAAAACTAAACTCACCACTGTTTTTATCAAACAATATACTACAGAAATATAAATCTGATTCTCAAGTTTTCAACAATAAAGCGTAGTCAACTCCGAAGCAACATGTTAAATCCAGGCGAGTGCCATTTAATAAGAACTTGTTCTTGACTTAGTTTATCTTACTCGTTTATAATTAAATTTCGTACTTGAAAAGTTTCACAGGAATACTACACTTTGAATATTCCAGTTTTAAAACACACATTTTCCTTTGAATTATGATTGTGTAAAAATATGTCAATCCGGCATTTAGCCTTCGAAATATACAAATGAAGATAACGTTTTACATCTACACCTTCAGTTGTAACAAGACAATTTTAGATTTAAACAAGGCTGGGTATTCTAAAATATTGGAAAACCTTCTGAAAATACGATGATATGAATATTACTTTATTACTTTCAAGTAGGTTTATAAGTTTGAATAGAATTGGTTTAATATGATGTAGAACACAATGCATCAATGCAAAATACTTTAAAACGATTTTGCTCGTGACTCGTATACACCATTACAATATACAACATTATATTTTTGGTAAAAGGTAAGTTAAAACAAAATTCAAAACACAATCTCATTAGCGCCTCTGTATGATTTTTTTTTCGGTGAAGTAACACAAGCCATCCAATAAAACTTGAACGGTCAATTTAAATTTGATAGTGTCCGCTTTTAGATAATGATGGTTTTTAGATCTTGTATACATCAATTTTTTTGTTGAGGATCCATAATGTGTAAAAAGCTCATATTAATATTACACTAAAAGATCAATTATCTAAAACAGCAAATTTCAAATAAGGAATGCTAGAGTCACTGTAATGATTTTAGCTTGGATGTACGTAATGATTGTACGTACAACGTTGCGTTTGTAGACTAATATACATATTTAGCTGTTATTTTAGTGTCAATATACTATGTATTAAAACTCTTAACCAAATTTGTCACTTTAACATAACCATCCTATTATCTACAATTTATTTTCATATATTCTTTTAACTGCATAGAAGGTTTCGTTTAAGTACCTTACACATTTTATCCCATCATATTGATTCCCCATTTTGTGACATCTGTTCTATGTTTTTGCCGATCACTGATAAAATACATAAGGTTACTCACTCATTGTAAACACACTTCTTAATCCAACTGAGTTCTGCACGGTACGCTTACGTACTGATGGTGATTTAAAGGGGCTGGACAGAGGAGTGAGGGGTGTGAGGTGAGAAGGACGTTTGAACGGGTCTTGTGTAATACTAAACTCATCTGTTACCAATAATGAAAGTTCTCCACAAATGTAATGGAAATTGGATTAACTATTTTTATGCGATAAAATGTAGTCCTATAAAAATCCCCACTACAGTGGAAAATCCCATACAGTCTCTATGTCCTGAGTAGGCATACGTTTCTTAAATGAGTATTAATAATAATGTTAGAGCCAAATCTGGGGATGGTGTAAAAATTTCTTTTAGATTGTTCAGATTTGAATGATACTAAGAGCATGTTTAGCCATTTTGGACTAAAAAAAACTTTAAAATATGCCTTCTGATTAAATATAAATAATTTAAGATAATACAAGTCCGCTTTAGGCGCATGTTAACATAATGAAGTACAATATGGCATCGTATTCTATAGATTTAAGTATCAAAATTCAGCCAACAAACAAATACTACTAACAGGCAATTCATTTATGAATTACCTGCATATAATAAATATACATTGGATCATGAAATATTAATGAACAAAGCGATGTAACATACTAAATTACCTTTAAACTGGAATTTTACATGTTCTTGGCCGGATGGAATCCTTAACGGTTGTTTCCATGGTAACGTGATTTCGTAATTTCGTTTACTAGCTGAGTAGCTTTATTCCCTTACACGTTGTTTTCCATGCTTACATAACAGTAAAAACTGCGAACAATGGAGAACTTAATTTTCCTGCAATTCAAGGTAAATAATAAACTTATCTTCGTCGGGCTGCGTGCTCAAACATAATTTTCCGACGCTTTCGGTTAAAACGGTTCATATTTACATCGCAAACAAAGCGAGTATCGTCAGAAGTCAGATCTCAACTGTTGACGCCAGTTACAGCTAGTGTGGACACAGCTTCATCCGTGTCAGGCAAATACAGAACAACTATAATACATTTTTATCCTGTTTGATCTAGATCTTGCACTCCAATTTTAACGTTTGCACGGTTTTCAGAACAATTATAAAATGAATAAAATAAACATATGTTACTTTTTCCTTTACACTGATTATAAACATGTCATGATTATTTTTTTCGCTCTTGACTATACATCTACAAGACACACACACACATGACAAATAACCGAGTTTTCAGTTTTGTTCTACGTTTGATTACGCAATTTAATAGGACCTAACTTAAGAGCAGTATGGTTAGTCATTTTAAATTGTGTAACCGAAGGTATAAAAAACTGACAACTCGGTTGTTTATAGTTTAACAAACAAGGTCTCATTTGAAATCTTTTTGATCGCAAAAAAATTGTCTTTATATTCACGGTTTTCATGAAATTTGTCATTAAAGATTTTAAATGACCGCTATATTGAAATGGCTTGAAATATTGGAACGAAATTTTATAAAGATATTTTTAAATTCTAAACTACACATTTAGGCTATACCAATTTTGAATTTTCTTTCTTGAAAAATGTCTAAAATATAAAATAGTTTGTAAAAATCACAAACAGACTGACAGACAGAAATCTAGGGAGTTTAGACCCATACTTACTTAGACCCATGCTCATTTTATGTTTGTCAGCCAAATACAAGGAACAAGTCCACAAATTTGTCCCGATAATTTGGAAACACCATGTATATATATATCAAATATTTAGTGAGAGTTCTTATTTCTTATTAGAGCTACGAATATGGTTGAAACCAAATTTATATTCTTTTATTAACTTCTTTCATGGTAATGTTTTTAAAACAAGCAAAACATTTCAGTCAAAAAATCTTCGTGTCGAATTCGCACAAATGAGTCGGGAATGTTTCTCTTGCGTTTTCTCTCAATTCTTTGTAAAAACAGAACCAAGCTTACTTGATACGAAACAACAACAGTATTGATGTAGAGTATTTTATCCAACAGTTTTTAACAGAACCTTTGGCGCTTGAATTGATATACTTATCGCATATTAGAGTACTGTTTTTGATGTTCATAGGAGCACAGATACTGTTACTTGAATAATTTTATTACTATTGTTTGAATAGTTGAATAATGGCTTTATTTCCCATTCCATTTAGGCCTACTCTAAAAAAAGAATGATATTTTCATTAGAAAGTACATTATGCTGAAGCATGGGACAATATAGTCGGAGAACATTATAATACTGTAGCTACATAACCAATAAATTACATCAGTGGTTAATGTAATTTATTGGTAGCACTTAGATTCTTGACATCAAAATATCAGTCATATTGCCTTTTTAGCTAATATTATTGACAGGTACCTATATAGTCAATGCTAATATTAACTTCCTACAGTCACCCGACAAAGTGGGCTTCCTTGCCCAGATCAAGGATTTACAGTACACGTATTGCTTTATAGTACAGAAAGCCTTAATTTGGCACACAGTTTTTACTTTGGCGCACACCCGTATTCCAACCAAACCACTAGTCCAGTCAATGAATGATCCAAAAGTAGGTGTAGAGTGCGTGAGCAGGTAACTAAGCGATTCCTTCAGAAAGTTGTTCAGGGGGCTTAGGGTGTTAACATACCAAAAGTCCTGACTCCTAGGTGGTGAGCCAGGGGGTGGAGGGGGGAAAAAGGGGGGGGAAAGGTACGCATTTTGGGTTTTTTGATTATATCTCGAAAACTATCAACTTTTTGTATACAGTAAATTATAAAATTGAAGAAGATTAAATTTTCTACAAGAAAAGTATATAATGTGTTTATTTTGGTTCAACAGATTACGAGTTATAATTTATTTAATTGATATCTTATTAAAATACTCCTTCCATAAGAAATACATGTAAATTAGTATGCGAAATGGGGCGAATCCTATCCGCCCAAAGGAAATGTAACTGATATTCTGGAAATCTTGACAAAATTTCTAGTAATTTGACACTTTAATCATGAAATTTTGTCAAAAATTAAAGCGAGGGTGAGCGTTTAAAAATGGGATGATTTAAGGGTTTTTTTTATTTCCAATAAAAAAACGCCAAAACTCGACATTTTGTTACCTCGCCCTCGCTTTAATTTTTGACAAAATTTCATGATTAAAGTGTCAAATTACTAGAAATTTTGTCAAGATTTCCAGAATATCATTTATATTTCCTTTGGGTGGATAGGATTCGCCCCATTTCGCATACTAATTTACATGTATTTCTTATGGAAGGAGTATTTTAATAAGATATCAATTAAATAAGTTATAACTCGTAATCTGTTGAACCAAAATAAACACATTATATACTTTTCTTGTAGAAAATTTAATCTTCTTCAATTTTATAATTTACTATAGTATACAAAAAGTTGATAGTTTTCGAGATATAATCAAAAAACCCAAAATGCGTACCTTTCCCCCCCCCCTTTTTCCCCCCTCCACCCCCTGGCTCACCACCTAGGAGTCAGGACTTTTGGTATGTTAACACCCTAAGCCCCCTGAACAAGTTTCTGAAGGAATCGCTTAGTTACCTGCTCACGCACTCTACACCTCATTCCTTGACTGGACTACACACAAAATAGCAAATAGCTTTTATTATGCACGTAATCCGTGTACGCTTGAAAAAAAGTTGGCGACACTTAAAGATATTACGACTACGATCAGCTGGTACAGCGTTTCCCATTTCGTTCAATGTTTAATTTAACCTCGCCTAAAAATGTGTTGTACATTGTTTGAAAGACTAAATATGATTTATAGTAACTGTATGAAACAGGGTGACTGGTACTCAGTGTGACAAAAATTTTTTGGTGTCAGTACAAAGTAAATGAAGTGTGATTATGCATATAAAATGTTCCAAGTCAAAAAAATTGCTTCCCAAAAATTATTTTATGTTATTCCAAAATAACCATGCTTTTAAACTTAATACAGCGATTTCTCAATTACCTGTATGTGGATTTGAGCAGATAATGTCATTTTCGTGTTCTACGTTAAATTTTGAAAAAGAATAATACAAAATGACAGAGGATCAGTTGTGAAAACTCCATTGTAAATAGATTCAAAGATAAAAATTAAGATGTTTGATAAAGATATAAAAAACAATGGTCTATTGCATTTTTCACACCCTGTATACAAGAAAGTGTCGGAGTATCATTTCTGTTGTTTTTTGCCTCCTGATCACAAATTTACATTAATCTAGAGGTTAAAATACCTTTAATCCGTCAATGTGATCAAATGTCACCGATGAGCGGTGACCGGTTTCAGCCCAGCTGTGGGGCCATCATCAGGCGATGAAGGAACATAAATATCACTCCGAAGAGGTCGTTATAAAGTCTATAAATACGTCACGAGAAACAACACATAAATACATTTTTAAATGTATAAAAATGTATTTATGTGTTGTTTCTCGTGACGTATTTATAGACTTTATTACGACCTCTTCGGAGTCATAACATAAATATCACTCCGAAGAGGTCGTCATAAAGTCTATAAATACGTCACGAGAAACAACACATAAATACATTTTTAAATGTATAAAAATGTATTTATGTGTTGTTTCTCGTGACGTATTTATAGACTTTATTACGACCTCTTCGGAGTCATAACATAAATATCACTCCGAAGAGGTCGTCATAAAGTCTATAAATACGTCACGAGAAACAACACATAAATACATTTTTAAATGTATAAAAATGTATTTATGTGTTGTTTCTCGTGACGTATTTATAGACTTTATAACGACCTCTTCGGAGTGATATTTATGTTCCTTCATCGCCTGATGATGGCCCCACAGCTGGGCTGAAACCGGTCACCGCTCATCGGTGACATTTGATCACATTGACGGATTAAAGGTATTTTAACCTCTAGATTAATTTGTCGGAGTATGTTAAAAACTGCGCCACTTTATAAGCTTTCCAACCATATGCTACACTATTGAGGTTTAGATATTTTCTTGATTGTTTTAGTGGTTTGGATGCCAGAAAACAGGGAACTTTTTACTGTTTTACTGTTCAACCTGAAACAAAAATACAACTTTTGCTTAATACATGCCGACTTTCTATGTTTTAAATGTTAAAGACACCATGCTTTGTAGTCTTCAAACCACTAAAGCGTAGATAAGCAGACATATAGCTCAATGGTGTAGCTTATCAAAGCTTATAAAATGGCACAGTTTTTAACATATTCCGACACTTTCTTGTATACAGGGTGTGAACGAATGCAATTGATCAATGTTTTTTAAATTTTTATCAAACATCTTAATTTTCATCTTTGAATCTATTTACAATGGAGTTTTTACAACTGATCCTCTGTCATTTTGTATTATTCTTATTCAAAATTTAATGTAGAACACGAGAATGACATTATCTACTCTAATCCATTTACAGGTAATTGAGAAATAGCTGTATTAAGTTTAAAAACATAGTTATATTTGAAAAAAACATAAAATAATTCTTTGGGAAACTAATTTTTAGACTTGGAACATTTTATATGCATCATCATACTGCATTGTACTTACGCCAAAAAATGTTTGTCACACTGAGTACCAATCACCCTGTATAATGTGTAACACCAGTGCAAACTACCTTTGCTGCACTCGAAAACTTTCCACACTCGCCTACGACTCGTGCGTAGGCCTAAACATTCTTTGATGTGTAGCAAAGTGCCACATTGCCCACTAGTTACACAAATAACTATTGTAATTAAAATATATTTTATACTTTACAGTGTTTGTCGCACTATTGACAATTTATTCGCCACTAAGCTGTCAAGTAAATGTTACATTAAGAGTATTATATAGGCAAATATATTTGTAAAAATGATTAGATGAGTGAATTACACTGTATAAGTAAATTAAAATAGTAGTAAAACGGTATTATTTTTGTTTTATAGAAAGGAAATAATACAACCTCTTAATCATTAAAAATCATTACAGTCAATATTTTGGTTTAAGTATCACTACCTTTGGACGGTTAATTTACATTCCTTGATACTAGATGATTGCGTGGGTCCTCTCACTCTCAGCTGATTAGTGATTGTCAAGTCTGACATACTGTTGTTTGATTGCTACATAGTGGTAGTTGATTACCGACCGCTACAATGGAAGCTTTGTTTTAAATTCAGCTGTTTCTGTCTATACTCACCGTATAGGCTACTGCAGTTAAATATACAAATTATAACTTCTGATTTCACACAAAGTTTTCAAGAAACTACTACATGGATTGAATTCAAATTTTGTCCAACACACTCTTTACTTATATTCTTAGTTTTTGCCAAGGCGCATCTACTAAAGTAAGTGTTCACGTGGAATACTTTTGAGGGATTTAGTCATGGCTGCACCCAAGTCCTGAATATGTCAACGTTATTAACGGACAAATTAATATCAGCTGTTAAAATGTTCTACACAAAGAGTGAATGTTATATGAGGCCCCCTTTACTACCCTTTAAGTGCACATTTATTATACATTTCCCATGTAGTCGAACCGCTTTCTATATTCATGCCCCGAAGCCTATACGAAATAGCTAGTGAGCGTGTTAATAAAGTCCTTTTTCAAGAACTAATGATGTAAAACTAACGAAGCAGGAACTACCTATACTAAGCAGCTTCAGTGTTTTGCCGAAACTAAGTTGTTTAAACAGCTGCGCAACGTCTACATGTGTGAAATATTTGGTAAATGTCAATCAAACAATGCAAACAAAGTCGAGGGAACATCAAGTGGCGACGTTTGGCAAATACAAAATAAGCAAACACATTTTGTAAGAGCATTTTTTAAATTTTTCCTCGTAAAATGGATTGATATATGTTTGATATATACAATGTGTATACGATCTAAATGCAGTCATGAAATTGTCAGGAATTTTGAAGGTAACCGATTGTTTATTTCGATGTATTTTGAAAGTATTGTCATTTCCAAACGTTTTGTATGGGGCTATTGCCCCAGTAAGAAAGGTAGAACAAAAAAGGTCAAGATAAATTAATCAATATTTAATTGGATCCAAACAGAAATATATTTGATCGCCATTTAGCGAAATATTTTGTTTCTAGGATAAATTTGGAAATGAATACGCCCTAAATAAATATATATATATATATATGAAAGTTCGAACGGATAGTGTTTTTGGCCTCTAGGGACATCAAAATGAAAAAGGTATATCGGTCCCGGGTCTAGGTCTTGCCGTGCCACCTACGGTAACAGCTACATCCCTATAGGGAAATCCACTAAAACCTTCTGGTCTTTAAATGTTTTGTTGGCGTTAAGTGAATTAAGACGTAATTAAAATACTTGAATTGAACCATAGAAGCTTACACTCATAGTTCTGCTGGCAATACCTTGTACAGTATAGAAATCCCACACAGATCCTTCACATCTAATCATGTATATGAAGAGAAAAATATAAACATGATTTATGTCGCTGTGATGTAGAAGAAATACTGTAGTTTATGAACCGTATCAAAGCTCAATGTTCATAAAGAATTGCACAAAACGATTGTTAATAGTAGTATTTGAATTATACTAATCATCTAACATCTAACGCAGTCAATTAATTATTGCGTGTACCTTCCTTCTTTGAATTTACAATGTTATTTCACTTAAATTGTAAATTTACACTTAGAACCTGCTAACAATTGAACAACGATTACGATAAAGATGGGTGCGTTTGAAACGATTCTAGTTTTTGTGTTGTTTCTCGGAACTGTTAATCTCCGTTTCACAACGGGTACAATGTTTTCTCTGCTTTCTTTTCATCTTGTCCAAATCGAGGATTTGCCTCGTTTCTTCAGCAGATTGTAATCAAGTTGTTTGCAAGGATATTGAGAAACACGTACCTATGTTTCTCATGTTTTGCTATAATATTACAAATATTTCAACATCTTGTCTAGTACATTGTAGATTAGCGAAAGTAGGGATTAAGGTTGAAAAATAACTATGCACAGCCTTTATCAGCCTAATACAATATATTAACAATTTCCTAGAATAAAAAATACCTTAAGTAACAAGCTTTTTACAAATATTAACATGAAATATCACAGTCAGTCGATGCGGGCGCAGATCACCAAGATACATCTCCTGAAATAAAATAAATTTAGGTAATTTCATGTTTTACGGTTCAAATGAATTCAATGTTAATATAAAGTACAACCATCAACTTATCAACAGACAGATGTTAAAGATGACCTTTCTATTGTAAACATCCATATTTTGACAAATCTTTACAATGGGTAGCTTTGACTATTGTTGTTATTAGTTTGTCAACTCGTTACTCATTCAGTTACAAATGTTCCTGCTTGGAGAGCTATCAAATGAAAATTACAATATATCTATATATATATAATACGTGAAGCCGTTTTTTGTTAACGCAACTCCTCCCTTATTCGTGGACCATTTTTGTCAAAAGATTTGTCTCAATATGTAGTTTTGCAATAAGGTCTTAGAGTTTAAAAATTCCTACCCTTAAGGGCATGAGACCCTCTCAAAGGTCGGATTTTCCCCATAATAAATACATATAGGCTAACAAATTTAAAAAGAAAAACGGCCGTTTATAAAAAGAAACTCATTAGCTTTTTGGGAGTAAATATTAATGTCAGTAATATTCAGGAAGTTAAAACCGAGTTAAACAGTTAATCAGTTATGTTGGAAGAACAGAAAATGCCTCGAGTTCAAAGAAGAAATATTGTTAAAGGGAGTAGGAGACGCTTAATAATAAGAACATTTTTATCTTAATTCGTATGAGAAGAGTATAAAAAGAGAGGGGCTAACAGATATACCTCTAGATTCACATTCACTTGGTGGAATGAATAATATTTGCCAGTTCTGCTATGCAACTTACTTTGGATGTGAAAAATATATGAAGCACGTAGTGTTGGTACGGTGCCTACTGTCTTAATAAACTTGCCCAATGTCAGATCAAATGAATGAATGCAATACAGTAAATGTTTACTTCTGAAACTGACAGATTGAGATATTTCAAAACATTTAGTAGAAACTATAATAATGACTTGGCAATGATAAGCTCGAGTAGTAAATTATACAAAACCTCGGCGGACCTTATGTTTTTATTGTAACGACGTTTGTATTACTCGCTCGACTTCAATTGAGAAAAAACACAAATGGATTGTTTACCTCTAGGTTATGTTGCTAGTTCCTCGAACAAACTTATACAAAGTTTTTGACCGAATTTACCAACACAATCCAGACAGTTCAATTCAAAAATAAGAAGTTTAAAAACGCATTTACTATTGAAAGTTGCTATTGAATGTTCTGATGCGGGGCATATACTCTGGCTGACAGATAACACGTTAAAATACGTTAACCAACTTTCAATGGTGTTGCTGCTTTAGCCTATTCAAAGCAGATTATGGCTGTCCAGTTGGTAACCCAGTGTTTGTGGGTAAACAAGTGGAGCACATGAAATGGTTGATATCACCCCACTTTTCAGGATTCTCTACGGAGAAAATTCGTTGGTTTAGGAGATCTCTCAAATAAAGAAATAAATGACACAACTTAAATTACTTTACACAGGTTATCAGAAAGGCGACAGTTTTCTTCAATTCTTAATTCTGGAAAAGATTTCTTGAAACATACGTAAACTTGAATTGAAGCAGACTGTTTAGCATTCATTGGGAGTTATCAGTTAAAGCGGAGAACAGAAATAATGTAGTGAACCTAACGTTTTCCTCAGCGTTATTTTTTATACTAAGCGGCTCATTGAGCCGCACGGGTTCTCTAGTCATGTATAATAAGGGAATTTCATTATAGTTTAAAGAATACTATGAATATTGAGATTTCATATCAACGAAATGGACGTGAGATCATAATTTTACCTTGTACATTGCGTATGGATTAGTGATTTATATTAGTTAAATGTTTGGATAGTTTCTTTCAAACTCGTACACTAGATAAAATCTTTTATTGTTTTCTTAAAACCCAATAGACGACTAAAGAACTAAATTTAACTTTTATATATAATGTTTGTTAGAAGAAATAATCAAAATCGTCGTAATACTACAACATTTGGGTCTCACACAACACTTTCAAAACCATAAATTAAAGTTGCATAAGTCTATATGATTATAGAGAAAATAAGAAGCATATATTCTTATCGCTTATATATATACGAACGTGGATCGAGAATATATATATATATATATATCACCTATTTAAACATACTACACGTTTTATCCAGCTAGAAACAGTATATGGACGGGCATAAAAAAACGGTCTAACTCCATGGATAAATTTTCAAAAATCTGTTATTAAATCAATTAAAAATAATGTAATCTAAAACTTACATTGGTCACTGTCCTCAGCGACAGGTCTGTAATACTTGGACGTGTATCGGGCCAGAGGTCTGTCAGGTCCGTAGCTGATGACTCTGCCATGTTTGAACAGTTTGGGACATCCGTCAGTGGCATTCTGTCCAACCACCTGGCGGTAGACAGTCTGTAGTGTCTGGCCGTTCCTCATAGTTCTGGCAGCGGTAGACACGGTAGAAGACATAGGCATATCTGTAACATATCAGACCATGTGTAATGTTTATGTCTATAACTGATAACTCTGCTATGTTTGAACAGTTTGGGACATCCGTCAGTGGCATTCTGTCCAACCACCTGGCGGTAGACAGTCTGTAGTGTCTGGCCATTCCTCATAGTTCTGGCAGCGGTAGACACGGTAGAAGACATAGGCATATCTGTAACATATCAGACCATGTGTAATGTTTATGTCTATAGCTGATAACTCTGCTGTGTTTGAACAGTTTGGGACATCCGTCAGTGACATTCTGTCCAACCACCTGGCGGTAGACAGTCTGTAGTGTCTGGCCGTTCCTCATAGTTCTGGCAGCGGTAGACACGGTAGAAGACATAGGCATATCTGTAACATATCAGACCATGTGTAATGTTTATGTCTATAGCTGATAACTCTGCTATGTTTGAACAGTTTGGGACATCCGTCAGTGGCATTCTGTCCAACCACCTGGCGGTAGACAGTCTGTAGTGTCTGGCCGTTCCTCATAGTTCTGGCAGCGGTAGACACGGTAGAAGACATAGGCATATCTGTAACATATCAGACCATGTGTAATGTTTATGTCTATAGCTGATAACTCTGCTATGTTTGAACAGTTTGGGACATCCGTCAGTGACATTCTGTCCAACCACCTGGCGGTAGACAATCTGTAGTGTCTGGCCGTTCCTCATAGTTCTGGCAGCGGTAGACACGGTAGAAGACATAGGCATATCTGTAACATATCAGACCATGTGTAATGTTTATGTCTATAGCTGATAACTCTGCTATGTTTGAACAGTTTGGGACATCCGTCAGTGGCATTCTGTCCAACCACCTGGCGGTAGACAGTCTGTAGTGTCTGGCCATTCCTCATAGTTCTGGCAGCGGTAGACACGGTAGAAGACATAGGCATATCTGTAACATATCAGACCATGTGTAATGTTTATGTCTATAGCTGATAACTCTGCTGTGTTTGAACAGTTTGGGACATCCGTCAGTGGCATTCTGTCCAACCACATGGTGGTAGACAGTCTGTAGTGTCTGGCCGTTCCTCATAGTTCTGGCAGCGGTAGATACGGTAGAAGACATAGGCATATCTGTAACATATCAGACCATGTGTAATGTTTATGTCTATAGCTGATAACTCTGCCATGTTTGAACAGTTTGGGACATCCGTCAGTGGCATTCTGTCCAACCACCTGGCGGTAGACAGTCTGCAGTGTCTGACCGTTCCTCATAGTTTTGGCAGCGGAAGACACGGTAGAAGACATAGGCATATCTGTAACACATCAGACCATGTGTAATGTTTATGTCTATATCTGATAACTCTGCTGTGTTTGAACAGTTTGGGACATCCGTCAGTGGCATTCTGTCCAACCACATGGTGGTAGACAGTCTGTAGTGTCTGGCCGTTCCTCAAAGTTCTGGCAGCGGTAGACACGGTAGAAGACATAGGCATATCTGTAACACATCAGACCATGTGTAATGTTTATGTCTATAGCTGATAACTCTGCTGTGTTTGAACAGTTTGGGACATCCGTCAGTGGCATTCTGTCCAACCACATGGTGGTAGACAGTCTGTAGTGTCTGACCGTTCCTCATAGTTCTGGCAGCGGTAGATACGGTAGAAGACATAGGCATATCTGTAACATATCAGACCATGTGTAATGTTTATGTCTATAGCTGATAACTCTGCCATGTTTGAACAGTTTGGGACATCCGTCAGTGGCATTCTGTCCAACCACCTGGCGGTAGACAGTCTGCAGTGTCTGACCGTTCCTCATAGTTCTGGCAGCGGTAGACACGGTAGAAGACATAGGCATATCTGTAACACATCAGACCATGTGTAATGTTTATGTCTATAGCTGATAACTCTGCTGTGTTTGAACAGTTTGGGACATCCGTCAGTGGCATTCTGTCCAACCACCTGGCGGTAGACAGTCTGCAGTGTCTGACCGTTCCTCATAGTTCTGGCAGCGGTAGATACGGTAGATGACATAGGCATATCTGTAACATATCAGACCATGTGTAATGTTTATGTCTATAGCTGATAACTCTGCTGTGTTTGAACAGTTTGGGACATCCGTCAGTGGCATTCTGTCCAACCACATGGTGGTAGACAGTCTGTAGTGTCTGACCGTTCCTCATAGTTCTGGCAGCGGTAGACACGGTAGAAGACATAGGCATATCTGTAACACATCAGACCATGTGTAATGTTTATGTCTATAGCTGATAACTCTGCCATGTTTGAACAGTTTGGGACATCCGTCAGTGGCATTCTGTCCAACCACATGGTGGTAGACAGTCTGTAGTGTCTGACCGTTCCTCATAGTTCTGGCAGCGGTAGATACGGTAGAAGACATAGGCATATCTGTAACATATCAGACCATGTGTAATGTTTATGTCTATAGCTGATAACTCTGCTGTGTTTGAACAGTTTGGGACATCCGTCAGTGGCATTCTGTCCAACCACCTGGCGGTAGACAGTCTGCAGTGTCTGACCGTTCCTCATAGTTCTGGCAGCGGTAGATACGGTAGAAGACATAGGCATATCTGTAACATATCAGACCATGTGTAATGTTTATGTCTATAGCTGATAACTCTGCTGTGTTTGAACAGTTTGGGACATCCGTCAGTGGCATTCTGTCCAACCACATGGTGGTAGACAGTCTGTAGTGTCTGACCGTTTCTCATAGTTCTGGCAGCGGTAGACACGGTAGAAGACATAGGCATATCTGTAACACATCAGACTATGTGTAATGTTTATGTCTATAGCTGATAACTCTGCTATGTTTGAACAGTTTGGGACATCCGTCAGTGGCATTCTGTCCAACCACCTGGCGGTAGACAGTCTGCAGTGTCTGACCGTTCCTCATAGTTCTGGCAGCGGTAGACACGGTAGAAGACATAGGCATATTTGTAACACATCAGACCATGTGTAATGTTTATGTCTGTAGCTGATAACTCTGCCATGTTTGAACAGTTTGGGACATCCGTAAGTGACATTCTGTCCAACCACCTGGCGGTAGACAGTCTGCAGTGTCTGACCGTTCCTCATAGTTCTGGCAGCGGTAGATACGGTAGAAGACATAGGCATATCTGTAACATATCAGACCATGTGTAATGTTTATGTCTATAGCTGATAACTCTGCTATGTTTGAACAGTTTGGGACATCCGTAAGTGACATTCTGTCCAACCACATGGTGGTAGACAGTCTGTAGTGTCTGGCCGTTCCTCAAAGTTCTGGCAGCGGTAGACACGGTAGAAGACATAGACATATCTGTTACACATCAGACCATGTGTAATGTTTATGTCTGTAGCTGATAACTCTGCCATGTTTGAACAGTTTGGGACATCCGTAAGTGACATTCTGTCCAACCACATGGTGGTAGACAGTCTGTAGTGTCTGACCGTTCCTCATAGTTCTGGCAGCGGTAGACACGGTAGAAGACATAGGCATATCTGTAACACATCAGACCATGTGTAATGTTTATGTCTATAGCTGATAACTCTGCTATGTTTGAACAGTTTGGGACATCCGTAAGTGACATTCTGTCCAACCACATGGTGGTAGACAGTCTGTAGTGTCTGGCCGTTCCTCATAGTTCTGGCAGCGGTAGACACGGTAGAAGACATAGGCATATCTGTAACACATCAGACCATGTGTAATGTTTATGTCTATAGCTGATAACTCTGCTATGTTTGAACAGTTTGGGACATCCGTAAGTGACATTCTGTCCAACCACATGGTGGTAGACAGTCTGTAGTGTCTGGCCGTTCCTCATAGTTCTGGCAGCGGTAGACACGGTAGAAGACATAGGCATATCTGTAACACATCATACCATGTGTAATGTTTATGTCTATAGCTGATAACTCTGCCATGTTTGAACAGTTTGGGACAACCGGCTGGTTGTAAAGCGGTTAACGATCGTGAGAACAAATCTACTCAGTAGTATATGTGGCATGCACTTTCTATAATATGTTAAGTGTTTTAGGCTATTTGGGTAGTTTCAACGAATTTTTCCAATAGGGCTATTATCGGAGCTGGTACAGACACCTGGATCCTAGACTGATTTATTTAATCATTTTGATGACCCCAGAGACCAAAAATCACAAACATTTTATACATATAACAACAATAAAATATACATTAATATACACCCATATACAGGGTGAGTTTCTACTGACCGTGTTAACTTCGCCAGTGGGTTCTACTCACTAAAAGGAACAACAAAGTTAATGGGAAGGTATGTCCGAAAATTCATATTTACCCAGATATCCGCCATTTTGTTTTTTATACAAAAATATTTTTATCTGTGAAGTTTTTTATTCGATGATTATGAAACTTGGTAAACATGTTACCATACACAAGACCTATAATAGAAAAAATAATAAAGTTGTTCCGATTGTAAATTTCAAAATGGCGGCCGTTTGAATGTTTCTAACTTAAATAACTCGAAAACGGCTAATTCTATGAAAAAATGTTTTACACCGGTTTTTGTGTAAAAATAAGGCAAAAATTAAGGGTTCCCCGACTAACTTTGCCTTATTTTTACACAAAACCCGTTATATTTCAGTTATCTTTTGTTCGATCTTTTTGATCTTGGTATCGTTTGATAGGAAATTAAGAATGCTAAAAAAAAGTATTCTTGACATTTTTTCATAGAATTAGCCGTTTTCGAGTTATTTAAGTTAGAAAAATTCAAACGGCCGCCATTTTGAAATTTACAATCGTAACAACTTTATAATTTTTCTATTAAAGGTCTTGTGTATGGTAACATGTTTACCAAGTTTCATAATCATCGAATAAAAAACTTCACAGATAAAAATATTTTTGTATAAAAAACAAAATGGCGGATATCTGGGTAAATATGGATTTTCGGACATACCTTCCCATAAACTTTTTGTTCCTTTTAGTGAGTAGAACCCACTGGCGAAGTTAACACGGTCAGTAGAAACTCACCCTGTATATATGCGTGTGTGTGTCCGTGACCACGATAACTCGGGTAATTGTAGTCCGATTTTGCTGAAGTTTGGTATGAATGTGTGGGGCGGGATGAACTGGAATTGGTGTTCCCCAGAAAGATTGGGTCTTGGAAACAGGATGTTATGAGGTTTTACATTTTTTTTTGTTTTAAAACTTTTTACCCTTAACACATAAACGTTCCCAACTTTATTGTTTACATAGTGTGTTGTGCAAAAATACTAATAATTTTGTAAATTGACGCGTTGTTGTAGGAATTATGGTTACGGAGAAAAATGTAAATATACATTTATTCGAATGAATTCAACATAACCAGCAGATTGGACTATGGGAACAGGTTTTTATGTTGTGGACATTGGTTGTCCCATTTTCTACTCCCAAAACGTAGGCCTGTCATTTAGAAATTTCTTTCCAAACTAAATTTTAGAGCTTGATTTTTATAGAACTGTGCATTTGAAATTCTCATGTTATAAAAAATGTGGATGTACATGTGGATAAAAACAAAATTATTTTAGTTTGCATGTTTATGGATTATTTTTATAGGTTTTGATAAATATGTGTATTTATTTCAACTAATACTATAACATTAGATAGAAAAACATATTTCTCGTTTCCAAACCTATGTCAGC